CAGGGCCGCCTATAAGTAAAATTTACTGTAGAACAGTTTTACTTAGGCGGCCAAAGTAGGTTTACTTAGTAGAATTTAGATAATAGAGTGATTATTTTTAGAGAAAATTTGGTACAAGTGATTGTCAGGAAGAGTTAGTGATTTGCGTCATTTGTCTTTGTATAAAATTTTGCCAGAGCCTACACAAAAAATTATAAAAAACATAATTTCAAATAGATACCATATTATAATAACTGGTGTGACAAAAATAAACTACAAAAACCAAGCTTACATAGATATTAAATTTGCTCAACCTCTTAAAGATAATAATTATGAGATGTTTGGTTGTTTAATTGTTAATAATCAAAAAGTATCAGACATGATGATATGATTTAATTTAGTAAATAAATATGGATGTTAAGCTATAATTCATAATTCTGACAACAAAAAGTATTTATAATATTATTTTAACTTTTTTAGCAATATGAAGCAATCTTCAGTATTAACCTATTTTATCATCTAATATACAGCATTTCTGTTGATGTAGAACTTTTATGGATAGTACTTGCCAAAGGACATAGATACTTTAGCCAATATACTCGAAATGTAAAAATTATTTATGGGAAGAAAACTTTAACAGGTCAATTGCCTCTTACACATGAAATCAGAATGCAAAATAAACTTCTGGATTTATTTATTTTTGTTACTAGCTTTGATTCGAAAGATCTTAATAAGAATCAAGTTATTGAGGGGTATATTAAAAATTACTCAAAAACTAGCTTGAGCCTGACAATTCGCAATATAATGCTGAAAAAATACCGAGTAACAATTTGAATATCATTATAATGAAATGGTGCTTGATTAATACTAATCAGAATAATTACGTGATTTCTGATGTCAAAAAAAAGAATTTTAATTAGAATATCCTTGGAGAAGCAATAACTAAGTTGTAAGTATGGAAATCATTTATACTTGCTTTTTAATTGGTCTTTAAAGCTTAAATAAATATTTTCTGATTAATTTGTCAATGTCAAACCAAAAGGAAGTGAGTAAAACCCATTTATCTAATATTTTTTTCTTTAATTAAGCACACTCTAATCACATACCAAATAGTAGAGATGAAGAGGTTAAATGGATTAAAAATGCTAATAAAGATTATATCATCAGTTGGCTTGAGAATGCTATTAACAATGGCAGCATTCATTATTTTGACTATAATAAATTTTCTGATATAGAAAAAGTTGGTGATGGTGGGTTTAGTTCTGTAAGTAAGGCAGAATAGAAACTGAATGGTAATGTATTAACTGTTGCCCTTAAAAGTCTGAAAGTTGATGCAGAAGGAGAATCTATAGAAGTATTTGTGAAAGAGGTATATTTAATTGTTAATTAATTATGAAAAATTTCTTTTAATTGTATTAATTCAAAATTTATATATTACACTTGCGTAAAGTTTCAAGTCCGCCAAAAAATGAGTTCTCATCCACATATAAATCATCTCTATAGTATAACTAAAGGTATATATTGTACGCACTTTTTACTTTAATAAATATAACATGATTAAAATCATTTATTGCAAATTATTGTTTTTTTTTTTTATAAAAATAGATTCTATTGGAACTTATAAGGTGGTCTTGCAATTTGCTAATTGTAAAAACTTGCAGGAATATTTAAATAAACAATACTCAAATTTACAATGAGAAGATAAATTTCGTATAGCAAAAGAAATAGTGAGAGTATCCTTTTTTTGCGTCAGAATGGCATAATTTATAGGGATCTTGTAAGTGTATCTTACGAATTAATTTAAAAATATTCAATTATTTTATACGAATATATTATTTATTTTATAGAATCCAAGAAATATCCTAGTTTATGACGATAAGATGTTGATAACAGATTTTGGGTTATCCAAATTTACGATAAATACTGATGTGTCAAACTCAGTCATTGACAGAATGCTAGCATTTATTGATTCTTAGTATTTTAAAACCGCTGAATACAAACGCAATACTAAATCTGATGTTTACAGTTATGGCGTTATTCTTTGGGAAATTTCAAGTAGCCATAAACCTTTTTTATTATTAATACAAATTGCTATTAATATATATAATGGTGAAAGAGAGAAACCTATAGAAGATACACCACCTGAGTATATTGAACTTTATAAAAGATGTTGGGATGATGAGCCAGACGATCGTCCAACAATAGAAAAGTTAATGATATTTTAAGCCAGCTCATGTATAAACCAACAAATTTTCAAGCGGACATTGAAAAGTCCTTAAAAAGCCCCAGGAGAATTGCTTAAAAAAGCTTGTTCTGATCAAATTATAACTTATTCTGATTTTAATATATTTAGCAATCATGTAAAGCTTTTACAAAGTAAATTAGCCAATCAGCGTAAATTTCATGATAATCATATTTGGAATCAAATCTGCCATATGTGTTGAATGTGATTGGCTCTCACGTGCTTTTCTCCCAAATATTGTTGACCCAAATCCATTGAATATCTATTTTCATATTAAATCCAATAGATATTCACTGAATTTAATATGAAAATGGAATCCAATAGATTTCGGGTCACATCACTACTAGATTGTATTTATATGAATTATATAAAATTAATAATCATATTTCTATAATGAAGTTTCTTTGTTTTATTGGTTTATGATCACATGATAAATCATGTATGGAAACTTGCTGTGATCCAACAAATACCTACTTAAAATGTGCACAGTATTAGCATTACAATATTTAAATCTATTCTATGAAGATTTATTAATAAACACATAGAAAAATTAGTTCTTTAAATATTCGTTATAGACTACTACTTTAATTAAAAAAAGACTCTTGACTATTTT